ATTGTTCCCAGTACTTTGTTATAAAAACCCAAATTTGGATAAGATATATTCAATCAGTCTCTCTGTATAGCATATACTGTGTGTCTGACCTAGGTGCTAGAAATAAGGTAGTGAACAAAATAAGCCACTCTTAGAGTTTGCATTTCACTAGTCTGGTTGTTTTGTTTTGTGGCAGGGACTTACATATCTCAGGCCAGTCTTGAATTTGCTATGTACCCAAGAATAACCTAGAACTTCCAAGATTCTCGCTTCTACTATCCAAGTCCTGGGACTGTAGGCATACACCACTGTACCCAGGTCATAAAATGGAGGGATTTGCACATACTCAGCAGGCATCCTATTGGACCACGCCCCCGGTCCATTAGTGCTTTGGTTTGATAGGGTTTATCTGGTGCGGGAGAATTGTCTGTATTCTGTAAATTGTGTATTTTTAATAAAACACTGATTGGCCATACAGGAAGTATAGGCAGGTCAACCAGACAAGAAGTATAGGCGGGGCGATGAGAACAGGAGAAGGCTAGGAAGGAGGAAGCTCTCTCTGCCATACCTACCCAGATCACCAAAGAAGCAACATGTGAGCTGCACAGCTAGAAAAGGTACTGAGCCGTGTGGCTAACGTAGATAAGGATAATGGGGTAATATGTGTTATAAGAGCTAATAAGTAGCCTGACCTAATGGACCAATCAGTTTTATAATCTTATGGAGTCCTGTGTGTGATTTCTCTTTGGGGCATGCCGGCTGTGGGGTACCAGGCGGGACAGATACCCCAACAAGCAGGCCCCCTCATGTTACATTTATCCTGTGCTGTGTGGGTTCCAATTGCTAGGCCTTCTGTGTTCTCTTCCCAATGCTCAGGTTCCCACCCCTTATCATTTCTCCTTAACTAATTCAAGGCTTCTTCCATGACTACCTCCAGTGATACCTCTTCCGTGGTTGTCCCCTAGATTTCTCTAGTTTAGGACATCTTTAACCTACAGCCAACAGCAAATATTTAGTCCTTAACACTTTATCTATCTTTTATGCGTGTTGACGCATATATCCTATTTCTATAATTATTATATATTAAAGTACTTAGATGGCAGGGACTGGACCTTGAACTTTTTTAATCCAAGCACTAAGAAGAGGTCCCCGGATGGAAAGGGTACAGCAGAAACAGTAACAGTCAGCTGGACTGACAACAAACGCAAACATATTGGTTCCTTCTGTCTGGACAAAGAACCAGCAAGTAAATCAGGGATCTCACAGGAAGGGCTATTTTCCTTGGTGGCAATTTTGCCTTTTCCAATTCATGAATAACTACAAAAGGACAGTTTTCTTGATTTGATCTTAAGTACCACTCAAATGCCTATTGTGAGCTGTCGCCTTGAATGAACTGTCTTTGAGGTTTATTTCCATCACTCAAATCATAGGGCTTATTAATACTTCCTTCTCGTTCTGCTTAAACTGACCTGAGCAAGCAGTCACTCTGCAGCCTGATGTGGCAGACTGAGTAATGGCAATAGCAGGATTAAAATCTACTCTCACATGACAAAATTTTTAAATGAAACAAGATAAGCTTTGTAGATTTAGAGAACAAGCTGTCAAGCTTGGTGGAAACTTTTGACAGTTATGTGATCCAGTAAGTTTTGCATGAGGAAGTCTTAGTAGGCAAGAATTACTGCTGTTTAGGCTGGTATTTTTTTCATGGAAATTCTAGGAAACCTGAAACTTTCCAGAAATACACATTGATAACTAATGCCCCACTTGAATGTCTCTCTAAATTTTCAGTTTTTCTACACACATTATCTTACTGAGTTACTAACCAATTATAAAGGTAAGTATACATCACATATATCCCCCTCTCTTTTTTAACCCCTGAGACAGGGTTTCTCTGTGTAACAGCCCTTACTGTCCTGGAACTCCCTTAGGGTTTGCTCTGATTTTCCTGTCTTAGAACTCTTGGCTAAAACACAAAAGCACATTCCCAACAATCTCTGCTTGGTTCTTTCTCTGACTCTCCCCTTCAGGGAAACTCCTCCAAGCCAGTTTGAGCCCCTGTTTCAGGACTTAGGTTTTAAAGCAGAGCAACCTGCGAATACAAACACACAAACGACTCACTCGCTGACAGAACTTGCTGGAGAAAACAACACCGGACCTAATACACTAGTGAACCGAATTCTCCCAGAATCCTCCTGGCAGACTCTAGATGCTTCAGACAAACACTGTTTCCTCATCCCATGTATACTGGTTACTTTGTTGCTACTGACCAATCTCATGGGGGAGCTATCAAACTTTCTTGCATCTCAAGACTTTTAGTTTGGAGCTGGGGAGACTGACTCAGTCAGTAAGGTTCCTGTATCACAAACATAAGGACTTGAGTTCAGGTCATCACAACCTAAGTATAAGCTGAACACAGCAGCACACAACTGTGATCCCAGCTCTGGAGAAGTGGGGACAACGGGACCCCTCCGACTTGCTGACCAGCCCGCTTAGCCAAATGGTGAGCTCTAGGTTCAGTGAAAGATCCTGTCTCAAAAATAAGAGGGTTGTGATGGAGTGATGAAGGAAGACATCTCTGACCTCTGCATACATGTGTACATACATGCACCGCACATACATGTGCACACATATACAACACACACACACACAACTCCAAAAGCTTAAAAACAATGACCATAACCACACATGGAAATAAGTTTGTCACTGTCAGGAAACCTGATGAGAAATTTATGGTTCAGGTTTTTTTCTTTTTCTGAGACTTCCCTATCAACAGCATAATTAACCCATTCTGGTCATATAAAATTTTTGTTTCCTCATGAGTCATTTCATTCATTCATTCATTCCTTCATTCATTCCACAATTTTTGCTGCCAATGTTCTAAAAGATGTTGCGCCAGGTTCTGAATATAAAGAAAAATCTAGCCTGGCGGCGGTGACACATGCCTTTAATCCCAGTACTCTGGAGGCAGAGGCAGGTGGATCTCTGGGAGTTTGAAGCCAGCCTGGTCTACAAGAGCTAGTTCTAGGACAGGCACCAAAGCTACAGAGAAACCCTGTCTCAGAAAAAAAGAAAGAAAGAAAGAAAAAAGACAAAGAAAAATTTATTTTTCCTATACTGATTGAGCTCAAAATCTGGAAGAGAGAATCTGAGCCAGCTGATTCAGCCATGCCAGGGGGACTCCCAAGGGCAGGGCTCGGGGTCGAGGGCTAGGCTAACGATCTATTGCTTATGTAATCATCTACCTCAAGCTCGTGGCTTCTAACAACTGACACTTAACGTCTTAGTTTCCATGGGTCAGCAATCCATACATCACAGGAAGTTGATCATCATGGCCAGGCTGTATGTATCTCTGTCTGGAACCTGGGTTGTCTTCCAAGATCCCATGGGTGTGAGCAGACTTGAGTTGCGGTTACAGAACTATAGATCCTTCCCGGCTGTCTGTGTGGGGCTGTTCTTGTCTCTTCAGTGACCCTACAGGTCCTGGCCACACAGCCCTGTCAAGAACCACTTCATAACATGGTAGCTTACTTATTTATAAACATATTTACTTATTAAAGCCAATCAAATTCTAGACCTTCTTCCAAAGGTTTGTTTAACCAAACCCTCTAGGATAATCTTCCTTTTGATTCATTAGAAGCCAATTTGATTGCATCTGCAAACGCTCTCATTTCCATATAATACAGCTTTATCAAGGGACTATTTTGTCATATTCACATGCACACAAAGGCAGGGAGTCTTGTGAAGTATAGACGCTGGTGGGCAGACCCCTGGGGTCTGTATTAGAATCATCCTCTGTTGGTACCTCTCCCACAATAGAACACTCAGTGGCATCCTAAGAGGAAAGAGGAATGCAGAGAGATAGGGATTCAGGGAGGAGAAGAGGTGGTTCAGGTAAAGGCCCTGATCAGTGCATTGTCGCCCATGAGAATATCACAGGACGCTCAGGGGAAGGGCCTGGCTGCTTCTCTTTCTACCCGGACTACACAGCAGATGAGAGGTCACTCCCCAGACAGAAGGACTTTACAGGGAGATGAGGTTATCATCTGATGCTTTGATGTCTTTAGGCAAAGAATAAAGATGATGTCTGTCGATCTATACCCCGGAGAAAGGGAGGCTAGAATGAATGGTACGGTTTTGGGGGCTCTCCTTCAGAGTCAGTCATGAAACCCTAGTAATAGAGGCAGTCAATACATGTGGGTAGACAAGGAGGACGAGGACTCAGACCTTAGAAAAGTGCAGCGGGAAAGACAGGAGCAGACAGAGGTAAGGAAGTGAAGGCTCTGGGAATAACCAGAAAGAGAAGCAAGGCTTCAAGGAGGCGACCCCAGTAACCAAAGCTGCCCAGATGTTAAAGACCAAAAAGCCATCCATTCACCAGAGGGGACCTGAGAACTGTATGGGTTACAGCTTTTAAGTCAAACATAAAGAGGAGGTATTTCAGTGGGTCAGAGGTGGCTGTTCCGTGGGGGTGACGGTACAGCAGATTCTTTCCCATGAGCAGGAGGGAGAGCACAGACCTTGCAGAGTGAACTGTGGTGGAATTGATCATAACCACAGAGGACACTGCGCTCCTGTGTGTTGAGTCACAGAGACACAAAACAGCCAGAACAGACGACATAAATCCTTCAGTTCACTTTCATGGGCTGACAGGGTATGCCAGTTTAAAAAAAATCTTTCTTTGGAAAACTCAAATGAACTCTTCAGTCACATCTGAGTCTTCCTTTCACATGTATCAAACCCAGGCCCACCTTCTCTTCAAAGCATCTCTCACAGTGGCAATTTTCCAATTGCTGTTGTGACTCCCTGTGTTGAACTCCATGAAGAATGAGAGGATGCTCATCTCTGATTGGCTCAGCAGTATATCCCTGAGACCTCAGGGAGGTCCTGGCACCTCTCCGCCCTCAGGTAAACAGGTACTAAATATGTACATTAAAGCTTTGTATTTTAGAGCTGAAGAACCCAAGTCTGTGGAGTTAAGAGCCCTAGAAGCAGGCTGACAAAGTCTGTGCTCATTTCCAGACCTCTCAAATGAAAGTGCACCTCCTACTCCAGCGTTCTCGCATTTCCTCTGAGTAAGCAGGGCATGCGCATCAGCACCAGTCTCCAGAATGGATAGCTCGGGGCTATCACAGCCCAGCCTCACCAGGGTTCTGATGACACCAGTCTGCTGTGACTCCACAATCCCTCTTTGTGAACTCCCACTTAGCAAGGACTTACTCTGCACGGAGCACAAAGAGCTCAGGGCATTATGTCCATTGACTCATTTTATTTCCATAATAATTCCTTACTTTGGTTGATATTACTCTTTTCACACGGAGAACAGCTAAGTCTTTGAGAAGTCAAGTCACTTAGCAAAGTTTTGTGTGTCAGGGACAAAGACAGCTCTGGCAGACCCCAGAATGCAGGGCCTCACCAACCACGTTCTCTGGCGCTTTACCAACCATGTCTTTTTCTGAGATGTTGAGCAATTCCAATGTTCTCTTCTGACAACACTCTATTCGTAACTGTGCTGTCAGGAATGAAATATTCTAAGCAGACACTTGGGCCCCTCCCTTCAGCTGTCAGTCTGTTGAAACAGTGGACTCCAAGAAATTGGAATTTCCTTAGGAGGTCCATATGGAAAGAGAGAGAGGGGGGGGGGGGTTAGGAACCTTAGTGCCAGCCAGAGAGTAACTGATCTCCTGGAAAGAGACTTCACACAGTGCTGACAAACTGTCAAGCCATCTTGCAGAAGCAACTAGAGCAGAGACAGGGATGGGCCAGACAGGCAGGACAGCACCCTGGCCAGAACTACTTAATTACGCACACCTTCTGCATTAGGCATCTTTGCTCCTCTCCCCAGGTAGCCATATTGAATAAATATCTGCTTTTCACCATTGCTTGTCTACTTAGTTGGCCTGTGGAGGGCTAGTGACCAAGCCTAGTTTGTTAAGATTGCCAGAACACAGGCTCTGACCGTAACAACATGGTAACAAATTAGGGAAAGTAGATTGACTAGCCAAAGAAACCAATGAGCTCCTTCAAGGCACTGTGAGTTAATGTGAGACAGAGTTATAGGGGTGGGGGAGGCTAACTATAAAGAAAGTCATTGAACTTAAATGAAAACACTGCTACTCGTTTTAAAGTAATATAAACTTTATGATAAACAGTATCTATGAAAACTGTTTTATACATACGAATGTGTGTGTGTGTGTGTGTGTGTGTGTGTGTGTGTGTGTGTGTGTAATAGTCCTACCATGCCCATATGCATTAGAAACAGATCATTAGAAATACCCATGGCCACACCACAAGAGGAGGGAAGACTGGAGATTCCTAGCTTAACTATTTTTTTAGTTTTACCTGTTTACCTCATCCTCTTCCCAGAAAAGGAACATTTATTCTTCTGTCTTACATCTTTCCTAAGCAGAAGTATGTCCAATTCAAATGCCTCACATGGTCAGAACGAGAAAATCCTCTCGACATAAACCCATCTTTGAGAGATGAGTAAGTTGGGCGTTCTAACTGTCGATTAAATGACAGGTGACAAAGGAAATGCAACTGAGTCATTTGGCAGAAGCGCTAATCAAAGAGTTGTGAGGAGAACTTCTGTTTTCGCCTCTAAAGCCACCACCTGGCTGCTGTGTGAAGTGGGAGCCTGTTTAATCACTACAAATCTAGGTCTACATCTGTTCAATGACACCATAAAAGTGAGCCCCACACACACACCCGCCACGCTGAGTTCCGTACTAAAAATGTGTCAGCCATAGGGCAGAGCTTGCTGGCCGGTGAGAGCCCATTAAGCCAGGCTATCAGGACATCCCCCCTTGAACTCTCTCTAGCCCCAAGGTGACTTGTTCAGATGACACTAGACACACTACTTAGATGTGCTCCAGGTCCTTGAGTCAACCAACTTCAAACTGAGCTCATTATTTTCCCTCCAGAAAAAAAGAAAAAGTGCCCAAGGGGTTGGGACTTTCCTCATTATCTTATCTCTTTGAAGGAAAGATGCTCTCAGCAGTGCAGTCTATCAACCAAAACCTTAATCTCTTTATGGCTGTTTCTTCTACCCCTGTCAGCCATTCCTCACTATGTCCTATTGATGTTTCTTTGGTCCTGACCAATTCTGTATCCAGTTCTGTGGGGCATCATTATCCAAAACCTGGAGAGTTTCAATGACATCCCTGTTTCTACTGTGGCACCTGCATCTCCCCATGATGTCTGTGGAGTTAGCCATTAAAAAAAAATAATAAAAAATAAAAAGCGGCAATGGAGCAGTTGCTTTTTCAGAGGACCCAGGCTAGGTTCCCAGCACCTATATGGCAGCTCCAAAGCATCCATAACTGCAGTTCCAGGGGGTCTGACACCTTCTTCTGACCTATGTTAGTGCCAGGCATGTGTATGGTACACATATATACATGCTGGAGAAATACTCAAAATAAATCTAAAAAGTGCTAAATCTTACGAAGTAATTCCCAGATTTGATTAGCTCTACATTGCCTGAAGAACAAAGTTAAATATCTCAGTGTGGGATTCAGGTAACTTACGGTTATAGTCCAGTCTTATAACCATGAACAGACCCAAGCCCTTCAAATTACTCTTTGTCTCTCTTGGTGACTTAATTTGTCATTTTCTTATAATATGATGCTGTAAATCTAGGTGTTTAGGTAGGACATCTGTTCAGTAAAGAGGGACAGTCATTTAGGTTGAGGAAAGCTTTGCTTGGGAGCCCGTCACAGACTCCATTTCACATTCATCAGCCCCAACTATCTCTTTTGTCAATGACTAAACCAAGCTGCAATAAGATATTTACGACCATCAGATGGAACATACCCAGTAAGAAACTCTCAGAGAACTGGGTTGGGACCATTTCTTCAGTAACTCCTTAAGGTGGAAATTTTTAAAATCTTTTCAAGGGGATGGGAGTCTGTGTGTGGGTATGTACACATGTGTGCAAAAGCCTAAAGAGTCCAAAAGTTTCCAACCCTCTGGATCTGGAGTTCCAGGCAGTTGTGAGCCCCCATCCCAATGTGGGTACTAAGATGGGAACTTGGGTTCTCTGGAAGAACAGTATGTACTCCTAATCGCTGGGCTATCTCTCCTTGCATTATCATTTTTCAAGGCATTTGTTTTTTGCTTGTGGTTCCTGGCAAAGCATTTCTAAAACCCTTGAATTTTCCCGGTGCTAGGATTCTAGCAGCCAGAACAGCCTCTGATAAAAGCCTTGAACTATTGAATTGTTGGGATCAAATTTAAAATTCTTTCAACGTGGTCCTTTCTTGTGTCGCCTCTAAAACAAAATCATCATTAAAAGGCAGCAACCTCTTCAGAACATGGCATGTGGGCAGAGAACCCACACTGCTTCCATTCGCTCCACGCTCCACGGTTTTCCTGTGGTTTCAAAGAAATCGCATGCGCTTTATCTTCCAAACCCTGGTTCCCAGGCACAAAATGGACGCCCTTTGAAATTTCCTACCCTGGTGGGAAGGTCAGGCCTTCTCCAGCTCTTTCATCTGAACTGGTAGGAAGATCTACATACAGTGGATCAGTTCCATTCGGGGAATGATGACAGACCCTGGAACAAAGAGAGAAACGCCCCTCCATCTCCACACTTCCGGATTAGAGCCGAGTAATGACGCGCACTTTGCAGGATTGAAGCGATCACAGCCACAAGGCAATTTGGCAGCTAACTGGGGTATCGCTCATCAGCCAGCTTTGCAAGGAAATCAGCATGGGCCCAGCCACGGGGATCAAGGGCAAATTGCTTTCTTCTTACTCTCCAGGGCCTAGAAAAGAGGAGATGAGGCCTGGCCACTTAAAATGTCATCAGTGAAAACCAGAGCCAGAGATTTAGCATCATCAGCAGCAATTTGAGCTACTGGCCTCAACTCCACAGAAGCCAAGGATGTTCGAAAATGGAGTTTTACCAGTGATGTTAAAAAGACTCATAATTCTTACTACTCCGCTGACATTCGGCAAGTCCTGACTGCTTAGGAATCCAAATGAGAAGCCTGACAGGTGTGGACTGAGCCATACTGCATTTCCAAGACACAGCATATATAATTGCAAAAATTCAGAAGAAAGGGACATTTTGGAAAATAAGATTGATTGATTTGGCCTATCTACTTAATAAGAAGTCACAGCAAAAAGGTCCCCTCCTGTGTCACGTCCTGGACCTCAGTGCACCTGTAGCCATGACCTGAGATCCCCTGTTCATTGTGTTCAAGTTAAAGGCAGCCATTCTTTCAGCTCTAGGAGCTCAGGACTGCAGCATTAGCTTAGGATGCAAATGGCAGGTCAGAGGTTCCCCGAACCTGTCTGGAACTGAGGAGACCTCATGCATCCTCCCATCAGACATTCTGGTGGAATCGCTCACAAAGGAAAGACACCTTGACACTGTGGAGCTTGAAGGTGGCTCTGAGGTCAACAGGAAGCACGGCCATGTGGGAACACTAGTCTCCCCTTCTGCTCTCTTGCCCTGTCTTTCTCAAACAAACTCTAGGACCTCAAAAATATTTTATTTTAAAATATCTTGGTTTATTTTCATATTACAAAGAACTACAAATTGCACATTTTCTAGTTGTCATGGCCTATATTCGAAAAGGTATATGAGTGTGCATAAATGCTTGAGCAGTTTTCAAATGGCAGTTAAGACAGTCATGTCTCTGTGACTGGATCCACGTATCTTTACGGGGAAGAAAAAATTTTCAAATTCCAGTCCAAAGCCGGCCTGAAACATCTCACACTGTTGAACTTGACACTGTTTGCTTAGTTCTAACTGCTACTCAGGGGCCTACTGTGTTGATGTTTTCCTCCCAGTCTATAGACTCCCATATATGACAGATGCAGCCATGATGCCTGAATCCTGTCTGGAAGTCATTCTGCTCTATTGGGTTTGACAGAGGAAAAAAAAATCCCTAGCATCTGAAGGGCCGGGCTGTCTGAACTTAACTCAAGAAGGTAGCATCCAGGGAAAGCAACTCCCTGCACCAGCTGATGGTGGAAGACAATCAGCCAGGTGCATGGGAACGTTCCAGAATGGGGGTTGTTAGGACATCTGGTTCAGGCTGGGAAGATGTTTGCCTCACAAGCATGAAGACCTGAGAGTGACTCCAGAACCCACATTATC